AGGTTGTGGTTGGACATTTGAGTTTGGAGCTGAGAAGAAAGCTTTGGGCTGGAAATAAAATGTGGTATTCAGAGCCATAGGAATGGATGGTGGCCAGACATTCGGTACAGTGGTTATGATGCTGCTTGGGATACCCACATCACATATCAGAGAACTTTGGTTTCAGTCCTGGCTCCCCTTCTGATTGCAACTTCCTGCTAATGTGTACCATAGGAAATAGCGGATGGTGGCTCAAAGACTTGGGTTCCTGCTACCTACATGGAGGCCTGGATTGAGTCCTGGGCTCCTAGCTTTGGCTTGGCCCTGCCCTGGCTGCTGCAGGCATCTGGGGACCAAAGGAAATGTCACTGCATTTCTGTATTGCAAATAAGTAAAAAATAAACAAATTTGTTATTTTTAAAATGATTTATGTATTTATTCAACAGGCAGATTGATAGTGATAGAGGGAAAAACACAAAGTTATCTTCCACCCGATGATTCACTCTCCAGATGGTTGTCACACTCAAGGCTGGGCTAGGCAGAAGCTAGGAGCTGGGAACTCCATCTGGGTTACCCACATGGGTGGCAGGGTCCCAAGTACTCAGGCCATCTTATGCTGCTTTCCCAGGTACATTAGCAGGGAGCTGGGTGAGAAGCAGAACAACTGGACTTGAACTGACGCTCTGATATGGGATGCTGGCATCACAAGAGGCAGCCTAAATCATTGTACCACGACACCGCTGATTCGCAGTTGGGAGAACCAGCCCTGGCTGTTGTGGGCCTTTGGGAAATGAACCAGGATATGAAAGATTTTGTTTCTCTCTCTCTGCCTTTCAAATAAAAATAAATAAACTTGAAAAAATAAAAGTAATACTGTTAAAGAGGGCAATACAAGACTCAGAGCCTATTTCATTTTGATTGATTGATTGATTTCTAGTTTTTATTTTAAAGGCAAAGATGAGAGAGAGTAAAAGAGAGAGGGAGAGGGATCTGTTCACTCCCCCAAAGGTCTGCAATCACAGGGCTGGGCCACTCTGAAGTCAGAAGCCAGGAACTCCATCCAGGTTACCCTTAAGGGTGACAGGGGCCCGTGTGCTTGGGCCATCTTCTGCTGCTTTCCCAGGTATGTTAGCGGGGAGCTATGTCAGAAATGCAACTGCACCAGTGCTATGAGATTCTGGCATTGCAGACAGCAACTTAAACAGCTATACTACAATGCCTACTCCCTCAGAGTCTATTCTTGAGTAGTAAAGACACACATGATTTTCGCTGACAGGAAAACCATGGCAGAGGATGAGTTTGATGGCATATCCAAGAAATGGAAGTAAAGGCTATGAGAAAGCTGGACCACTGGGGTATTTGACCTTTGATAGAGGAAGGACACTTCAAAAATGGGGGATGATGTAAGGAAGCACACAGATGTAGGGAGATTTGTACAGTTTGTTATGGATAATAGGATATTCAGATTTTATTATTTAGTGTGATACAAGTTCATGTCCTGAGAGGCTGGGGAAGTATAGGACACAGGTTTTTGAGGAGCCAGAAGTTTCTAGGAATATGCCGGAAGCTTTAGAAAGCATTCATACATAAGGTTGTCCCTGGCTTTTGCCAGAGGCTAAATGCATGTTGTTGAACAAATAGAGCCCTGCATGCAACTGTAGGTAGAACTGTAGATTCACTCACAGATCATTTTCAGATGGAAAACAAAGATGAGTTTTTACATCTAGCTAATGAAAAACACCCTTTGTGTTTTTAAAGATTCAGTTCTAAGAACATTTGCCAATTTGCTTCCACCTTGGCCTAGAGAATGTGCAATCAAGACCTTAGGCAAGAAGTCAGCTGTATGGACCTTCCAGTGGCCTTAATCTTTTCATTTGTGCATATGAAGCTGGGGAGGGAGAATTTACTCAGTGAAAGTTTTGGATATATGTAGAGCAGGAATGCCTTAATTACACAAAGATAACCATTCATGTTGTCCATATATTATACGGACAAATAAGACATTTATAACCCTCCCTCCTTCTTGTTTTTAAAATAGATTTTTCTTTGTCATCTTTAAAAAGTCCCTTTGACTGGGTTTTATCTGACATTGTTTTCCAAAGGCATTTCTTAAGATAGGTAGCCTGAGTAAAAATGTTCTAAACCTCCTGGTAAACCTCAGAGTATTGATTATCTTCTAATCTAGTTTTGACTTTACCTTGAAACTTCAGCCATAAAAGATTTAAAAGATTTTCCCTTCGCTAAAAGCTATCATCTGTAATCCTTGCACTCCCTCATTTCAGAATCTGGATGACGGAATGTCACATTCAGTTACCTTTATAAACTCCCAAATCAAAGTTTCTAATATCCACCCTTGCCTCACTCATCACTCTAGCTTCTCACCTCCCAATTTATGGGTAGTTCTTTACCACCTCTTGCCACTTCTCGTCTGCAGGGCTTGCGTGGTCAGAACAGCTAAATGGGATTCTGAGGTCAAACAACTTTAAAAGTTCCACAAATTTCACAAAGGAAATGCGGAAACATAAAAACAGTGCATGTCAAAGTGTCATCCCATATTGACAGTAAATCACTTAGCTAACATTTAGTTTGTCCCTAGTGTGCTATCAGGAACCACTCCCAGCTGTGTCTACGCTGCTAAGTGTGCATGCATACAAGAGTGTGTGTGCGTGTGCACATGTGTTTCAAAGACATTACTTAAGCCCTCAGAAAATACTGCTGTTTTCGCCTCCATCCTTCTTTTTTAACCTTTTACAAATAGCCAAAATAATGTATGGATGTGCGATTTTGCTGTCCTTTTCTCCCAACACAGGCAATAAAAGTTGATTTGCACTAACAAGCTAAAAGCTCTGAGTGCTACCAGACTGTGATGCGTTCCGGGAGGGAGGGCAGCTCTCAGAAGCCACGATGGTAGAAAGCATTTTCACAACAGACCCCACAAACATTTAGCATCCAAGGCTGAGATGCAATCACTGTTCAGAAGCCAGCTGGTATGGAAGACAAAATTGAACTGAAAATTCGTTGCAGTGGAGACTGTTTCTCTTTTGTTTTTGCCTTCCATATTAGCCCACATGTGCTATGTTTGTGGCTCTTTAAGGCCCTCCCTTTTCTATTCCATAGTCTTGGCAAGGAATCTGGTTGTAATAGCTCACAGCATTACCCAGTAATAAGGCATAAGGCATAAAATGTGTTTGTGAGAAAATATATGCTAGCAAAATACACACTACAAATAACCTATGTCATGCCACTGGCTGGCAGTTAACATTTCCATTAGTTGCAAAGAAAAGTAGCAAATAGAGCCAAATGTTAAAAATGAAAAATTCCACCGATAATGTGTATCTGTCACTCCCATGTACTAAACAGATTTGAAAAGGTGTTACTGCAGTCCTACATGGAATCATAAGCCAGAGACACCAAACTTTATATTTGCTTAGAGATGAAGCCTCAAGAATTAATCTATGAGGCTTCTTTTATGATTTATTTAATTATTTGAAAAGCAGAGTAATGTGGGGAGAAATAGAGATAGGGGGAGAGAAAAAGAGAGATCTTTCTACCATTGGCTCACTTACCAAATGGCCTCAATGGCCAAGGCTGGTCCATACTGAAGCCAAGAGCCCAGAGCTCCATTAGAGACTTCTGCTGCTTTCCCAGGCACATTATCAGGGAGCTGTATTATAACTGGAGAGCCAGGACTCGAACCACCACCATGAGGCTTCTTAAAATATGGAATTACAAGTGAATAATTTCAAACCTCAACCAGCACACAGAACAGACTGTAACTCCTATGTAGCCATAAGGAGTGATCTGTTCTGGCAAACAAGAAGGTAGCTTGAGAAAAGATGGGGCTCCCATGAAGAAAGGAGTAGTCCACAAGTACAGTCCACATTGATAAAGCAGATTATCCTATTTTTGTACCTCAGCTCTCCTATCAAACAAGATGAGAAGAGCATAAGTAGAATATCATGATGAGATTAGAAAGAAATTTGTCAAACCACAAAGTCACTTTATACAGTACAGAGAGAAAGTAGAGGGGAGGTTGTCTAAGAGCCTGGAATTTGGAGTTAAAACATCTCTGTGTTTAAATTCCAGCTGTCACTTATGTTTTGTGCAATTTTGGGTGATTTGTTTAACCTCATGATATCTCAGTCTCTTTTTCTGCATAAAGGGACTATTAATAAAACCCCTTTATGGAGTTGTGAGGATTATATGACTTAATATAAGCAAAGTTCTTCCTGGCACATCTTTAGCACTCAATGAATGTTAGCTGTTACTATTAATTGCAAACAGATATTAAAAAAGAAAAAAGGCATATTTGGCTGTGACAATTTTTGACTCTTCAAATAAATATACATTCTCAAAGTGGTAAGCATTTTGTCATAGTACTAGCCACAGTTGTGGTGGTGATAGTGTTACAATGGTGGTGGGATTAGCAATGTCTTAAAAGTTTGAAACAGACTCTGGGACAGACTTGTATGCCCAAATTTATTGGGGAGCACTTCCTGAAACAGCACAGTGCAGTAACAGAAACAGAACTGGCTGAGATACCACTGCAACCAAGGACTCAGTCGTCTCAGGGAGCTCTCTGGAGCTGTGAAAGGCCTCACCTTGTCTTGAATGGAGGCAAGGAAGCCAGGGTCTTTTGGACTGACTCCCCATGGGTCAGTTGACACAGGCTGTTCCTGCACAGGGGCATAATGCTAGGCAAGGCAGTTTTCTACCACTGCAGTAATTTTAGGGTGAATATTCTGAGTGTCATACACCATATCTTTGACAAAAGCTCACTGCTTGGGTTGGTCGGATTTTGCTTTATATAAGGTCAACCAATCTGGGAATGCTTCTCCAGGATTCTGGTTGGTCTCCTTAACTGGGCAAAATTCCCTCCAAAAAGAGATTAGTACATTCCCTGTTACAACAGCTGATCTGGGGACTACAAGTAATATTTGTCATCTTCTGTCCTCCACTTTCTACCCAATCCAGATGCTCTCTGCCCTTGGCTGGCAATGCTTTCGATCTGATTGGCTTACCGAGTAACAGGTCCCTGACTGCTGGTTCTTCTCAGGCCCTGATGCTGTGCTTGTCCATTTAAAATTAAAATTGTGCAGAAAAGTACCAGTCACCTTGAGGCAAACATAAAGTTCTCCTCTCTGCTAGGAAGGTAGCACCTTTCCTGTTTGTAGATTTCTTGGTGGAAGGAGCCTAAAGTAACTGGGTGGCAAAGGAGCTTAGAGTTCAATGGAACTTTTACGAAGTTCTCAGTAGAGGTGACCTCACTATAGTAACCAGGATTTTGGTCCCTCTTAGCATAGAATTTTAGGGATGAGAAAAATGAAGTATTTCAAGTAAGTCCCTGGGATTAATAATGAGAGGTCTTTATTCCCTTGTGTGTAATATTCCTGTCATTATCCTCTCAACTCTATGAATGGCCATCCTACTGGTTTATCACTGTCCTTGAATTTATGTGTGTTCTTTTTAAAAAAATAATTAATTTGAAAGGCAGAGATAGATACACACGTTTACACATGCATATATACACACAGATCTTCTACCACTGGTTCACTCCCAAAATGCCCATGACATCTAGGGCTGGGACAAGCTTAAGCCAGGATCCAGCATCTCCTTCCAGATCTCCCACATAGTGTCAGGGACTCAAGTTCTTGAGCTGTCACCTACTGCCTCTGAGGGTGCTCATTAGTAGGAAGCCAGAGTGGCCAGCTGAGTGGCAACTTAACCACTGTGCCAACCGCCTGCCCCAAGTGTATCTTTCCTCAGGCTATTCCCATTTCCACAGAGAGTGGACAATCAGGTGAAATCATTCCCTACCACTATCTTTCAGGAAGGTCCCTAATCAGCAGGTCTACATGCTACAATAGCAGCAGCTCTTTTTCTTGATGATTTTCTTCCTTGATCTGCTCACCATAGGAGTCCTTCCATATGACCACATGGGGGTGATCTGAAAAAGCGACAGCAGTGCAAGAGGAGGGTATACAATAAGGGTCTGGGAAACTTGCTCCTTAGTCCTTACTCTGTCCTATCTCACCTGTGCTGGCACAGAGTTACTGAGAATACAGATGCCCTTTCACCAGCATATCCATCATTACTTTGATAAAAGAATTATCCTCTGGACCCATCTCTGTAATATAAATGGCTGATGAGTTTTCAACTTTATGGGTATTCTGGGCTGAATTGTGTTACATATCGCCATTCAAATGTTGAACCCATAACTCCAGAGTCTTCAAATGTGATGAATTTGGAAGTGGGGCTTTAAAATGTGATCAAGTTAAAATGCCATTAGTCTGGTCTCCAATCCAATCTGATAGGTGTCCTTATAAGAAGAGGAATTTTCATCATGCAAAGAGATATCAGGGATGCACAAACACAAGGTTTCAGAGTAGAGGCCCAAGGGGTACAGAGCAAGAAAGCAGCCATCTGCAAGCCAAACAGAGAAGTCTCAGGTGCCATGTAACCATGATCTTTGACATATAGCCTCCAGAACTCTGAGAAATATACTTCTGTTGGCTGAAGCTAATCATCTGTGGATTTCATTATGTAAAGCAATAAATATATTCATTCTGTCACATATACTTCTTTGAGCTTTTCAATCCATGTTCATACTGTCTTCAATTTCTTTCTTTTATTTAAGGGGGGAGGGTTGAAAAAGAGGAGGTGAGAGAGAGAGAGAGAGAGAGAGAGAGAGAGAATATCATTTACTGTCTACTGGCTCACTCCTCCAAATGCCTACAATAGCCAGGACTGTATCAATCCAGAGCCAGGAGAGCCAGGAGCTCAATCCCTATCTTTCACTTAGATAGCAGGGATACAACTACTTGGGCCATCTCCTTCTTCCTCCAAAGGGTTGGCATTGACAGAAAGCTGGAATCAGGAGCTCCAGGGACTGGGCATCAAACCCAGGCACTCTGATATGGAAGGCAGGTGTCTCAATTGGTGTCTTAACTTCTAGACCAAATGCCAATCTGAATCCACTAAGATTTTTATTTTTAAAAGATTTTATTTATTTGTTTGAGGGGTAGAGTTACAGACAGTAAGAGGGAGAGACAGAGAGAAAGGTCTTCCTTCTGTTGGTTCACTCCCCAGATGGCTGCAATGGCTGGAGCTGTACCAATCTGAAGCCAGGAGCCAGGTGCTTCTTCCTGGTTTCTCATGTGGGTGCAGGGGCCCAAACACTTGGGCCATCTTCTACTGCTTTCCTAGGCCACAGCAGAGAGCTGGACTGGAAGAGGAGCAGCCAGGACGAGAACTAGCACCCATTTGGGATGCCAGCACCGCAGGCGGAGGATTTACTTACTGCGCCATGGCTCCAGCCCCTCCACTAAGATTTTAAGAGCAATTTAACGATGTGCTGTCATTAGCTTCCAGGGTATTTGCCAGGGTGTTGATTCCTATATCATGAACAAGTGCTTCCTTATCAAAAACTCTTCTGTATTTAACTTTAGGTTTTCTTTTTTTTTAATTTTTATTCTTTTTTTAATTTTTTTACTTTTATTTAATGAATGCAAATTTCCAAAGTACAGCTTATGGATTACAGTGGCTCCCCCCCCCCCATAAATTCCCTCCAACCCACAACCCTCTCCTTTCCCACTCCCTCTCCCCTTCCATTCACATCAAGATTCATTTTCAATTCTCTTTATATACAGAAGATCAGTTTAGTATATATTAAGTAAAGATTTCAACAGTTTGCACCCACATAAAAACACAAAGTGAAAAATACTGTTTGAGTACTAGTTATAGCATTAAATCACAATGTACCGCACATTAAGGACAGAGATCCTACATGAGGAGTAAGTGCACAGTGACTCCTGCTGTTGACTTAACAAATTGAAACCCTTGTTTATGGCATCAGTAATCACCCTAGGCTCTTGTCATGAGTTGCCAAGGCTATGGAAGCCTTTTGAGTTCACCGACTCTGATCATATTTAGACAAGGTCGTAGTCAGAGTGGAAGTTCTCTCCTCCCTTCAGAGAAAGGTACCTCCTTCTTTGATGACCTGTTCTTTCCACTGGGATATCAGTCATGGAGATCTTTCATTTAGTTTTTTTTTTTTTTTTTTTTTTGGCCAGAGTGTCTTGGCTTTAGGTTTTCATCTATTATACTTTCTCAGCCTGCTAGTACATACTGACAAGGTCCCAGAGTTCTTTTTGTTTATATCCCCTTTCCTTTCACATTCCTAATTAGATTTTGCTGTGACTTGATCTTAGTTATTGTTCTATTGTCTAGGAAGAAAGAAGGGGTAGATCATGGAAGCACAGGGTATGTTATAGTACAAGGAAGAGGGTTATGGATAACTTTGAGTAGTGAAAGAGGACCCACCTTTATCAATGAGATGATAAGTTCTCATATTCAAAGAGGACAAAAGCACCTAGAATTTCAAAATTTTCAAATTTATTGATCAGGAGTTCCCATACCAATCCTTAGTCCCATTCCATCTTAATGATATGCTAAGCTGGTATAACAGAGTTGCCAATAGTACAAATGTAATATTCATTGGAGCTATATTTTGTTTTTAAAAATCTAGTATTAATAACTATGTATTTAAAAGATATATATTAAGGGATCGGCACTGTGGCACAGCAGGCAAAGCTGCCACCTGCAGTACTAGCATCCCATATGGGTGCTGGTTCAAGTCCCTACTGCTCTACTTCCAATCCAGCTCCCTGCTAAGGCACTTGGGAAAGCAGCAGAAGATGGCCTGTTCCTTGGACCCTGTACCCGTGTGGGAGACCTGGAAGATGCTCCTGGCTCCTGGCTCATAACTGGAACAGCTCTGGCCATTTGCCGCCATATAGGGTGTGAACCAGCGGATTGAAGGCCTCTTTCTCTCTCTCCTCTCTCTCTCACTCTTTGCAACTCTGCCTTTCAAGTGAATTAATAAATCTTGTTTTTAAATAAACATAACTTGGCCTGACTTTCAGCTAAGGAAACCATCTGCTTCCATATTTTATTTTAAATAATATTCACCCACAGTTTTTCACCTCTTTCCCCAATGCATTGGGATCCCATTGTAAGCATGTTTTGAGAATTCAGAGGGCTAGCAATTATAAAGCAACTGAGATATGCCTCTTGCCAGCATATTTCATTCTTGTAAATCCAATTCCACTCACCGCTAGTGACTCTTTTAACAATTATTCCCACTTCAGCCCAAGAACTATCAGTATTACATCTATAAGTTGTGATGGTCCTGATTGACAACCTGATGGTAGTTGATTCTAGTCTAAATTCCTATGTCAGATACTACTTCTTAAGATTACTCAGGGCACCTGATAGCCAAGATCACTGGAAACAGTCTCTGAGGTGAGAATTTGACTTCAGGGATATAGTAGGGACTGCTCATTGGAACAACACCTATAAAAGAGTGAAGAAGATAGCACTGGGTAGAAGAAAAAGTTAAGTTGTGATGAAATTACAGTAAGGGTCTCAATTCCATGGTGAAATCTAAGCTGGAATTGCCCCAAACTAAAGTGGATTTCCTGGTCTTCTGTCTTTCTACAAACTAAGTATAGTGTACTAAGTATTAAGACCCAGGAAGAGACATGATGAGGTCCTTAAGTGGTGGGAAATTTTGGGAAGAGGCCAGTTGTGAGCTGCCAGCAGGTAACACCCCCAGAGAGTGGGGTAACTGCGGGTCTCAGTTCTCCTTCTCACAATGCCTTAAAAGCATCCTTGTCGTCTGAGCAGTCAGGACTCCTATTTAATCCCTCCATATACAGAAAATGCAAGAAGTAAAGTTTACTTCAAGAGAATTATGTTTTATTTATGATATGATTTATAAAATAATCTCTCACTTGAACAACACTATGTACACTAATATCTTCCCTTTTCCATCATGCCTGCACTTATCAGGTTTTTGATGAGTATTGGAAAATCCAATGCAAATCAATTGTACCAACAAGTCAAAATAATTTAATTATTAAAGGATTTATAAAGATTTTGAGAGAACTAGTGATACCTTAGCATATTTAAAATATTATTCTTGCAAGAGTAAGTAAGCATGAAGTGAGAATTGTAGCAAGATGTGGTATTAGAATTTTGTAAAAAGAAGCATTTCATTTAGTCTTTATTCAAGGTATTAGCTCACAATTAGAATTGAAACTTATGTGTTGTAAAGCTAAGTTTTAAAATATAGCGATTTCAGCTCAAAATTAAACTCCTCAAGTCTTCATTTAAGGCAATTCTCTGATTTTGTTTTAAAAATTGTTCTCAAGTATCAATAACCTTCAGTTACATTTCTATACATAGAAATTGACACAGCCAGATTACCACATGCTTAAAGTCTATTTTTATGCCATTTTAGTAGTTCCCAAGCATCCATGTGCTGTGGAATAGATTAGAAGTTCATTCAGATTTCATTCTTACAAAAAAATATATGAGCACGTCTAAGTAGGCTACAAGTCCATTAAAAGTAATAGAAAAGAGATAGAGATCAGCTCTAAGTAAACTTTGGGCTAAGGAATTTATCTTTCAGGTATTCACCTCTTCTGGAAGATAAGAAAGTTTTCTCAACCAATTAATTGAGACTAGAACTAAATGTCTTAACAAACACATTCAATTTTATGCATCTCCAAGACACTTTTTCATTGCAAACTTGTCAAGAACACCATCAACTTGTGTAAAGTGATGATATAGCACTTCCAGGATTCCTGCTGTTCCTCGCAATTAACAGAATTAAATTCATGGCTTCTAGGGAAAAACCAGTGACTGAGAGTCACTGGCAAAACTGCTACTGATTCACATTCTAAGGCAGCTCCCCTTCAGTCTCAGAGGCAGGAGACTGGTGTTTAGTTGTATGACATATAGATCACTTAGAAGGTCACTT